TTTAAAAACATCAAATTTCTATATAATTTTTATTACCTTTTATTTAAAAAAATGTCTTCTTCTGATTCTACAATATCTTCTAGTTTTAATTCTCAAATGTTTACTGAATCAATTAGATTTATTTATAATTTAATAAAATTAAGTTTAGAAGAATATGAAGAAAATGAATTAGTTTTAAATATAATATAAAAATTAATGATATTTTTTAAACAAAATGATAATTATATATATCGTAGAACTTTAAAACAAAAAGATTTAAGAACCTACTTTAAAAAGAAGGTTTTAAATATTTTTTTGAAAGGCATTTTGAATTAAAAGCATTAAAAAAAACTGAATTATATTTGTATTTAAAATCTCAATTGATATCTTTTGAAATTGCCAATGAAAGAAATAATTAAAGAGAATCACAATGACATTTTTACAAATATAATTTTAATATATTTTGCCATTATGTAAAAATAAAAATATGCAATTATGTGAAATAAGTGAATATACACTTTTAGCTATACAATCATATCTTCAAGTAAATAAATTAATAGAATATGTCATAGAAATGTTAAACATGCAAAAAGAAAAAATTCTAAAGTTTTTCTTGATTTAAAACTTACTTCACAAATTAAATATTATTTAATATAATATGTAAAGTTGCTGAATAAAACTTAAAGTTTGCAAATCGTCTAAATGAAAAAAGGAAAAAGTTTAGTGAAATTATATTAAAATTTTATTAAAAATCTGTAAAATTCTAAAAAAGGTAAAACTATATTAAAGCTTATAAAAATGCAAATTATATCAAAATCTTAATATAAATTAGCAAAATTATAATTTAAACATTTTGCCAAATTTAAAATATATTTAGATAAGTAATCTTAATAATATGAAAATATTTATGATTTATTATCTCCTATAAGACATTGTAATGATTCTGAAAATTTTATATATTTACCAACTGATAAAAATTATATTTTAATTTATAATCAATATAAAATGATTTTTATATTGAGCATAATGAAAATGAAAAAATAATGTCTTATGATACATTTTGATGACTTTAGCATGAAACAATGCCAAATCTTAAATTTTAATTATCAGGATTAGATCTTTGTAAAGTTTGTGAAATTTTTAAAAAACAAATACAAATTTCAAAAAATGATAATGAAAGTTTTGAAAAAAGTAAAAAACAATATGAGAAATATTATATAGCTACTAATCTCAAAAGATAACATTATAAGTAAAAATGATAATTCAAAAATGCATATATATTATAATTAGGCTCAAAATATTTCAATTCCATACTCATTATAACAAATAGAATCTATTTATTTTAAGGTGCTTATGCAGTACATTTATTTGGAATTTATAAAACTGGATAAAAAAATCAATAAATTAAATTTTTAATTGTTAAAGATGAATTTTCAAAAGGTAAAGAAAAAGGAATAAATACAATTTTAAATATAGTTTATCAAGCAATTAAAAAATTTGTTAAATCTGATGATGAAGCAAAAAATTTATAAATATCTTATGATAATTGTATTGTACAAAACAAAAATAATTTATTATATTTTTTTGGTATTGGTTATATATGTTGAGTTTATTTGATAATATTATTATTAATTTTATAATATTAAAACATACAAAATTTATATGTAATTCATATTTTAAAAGAATTAAAAAAACTAATAAAGATCATAATGTAAATACTATCAATGATATTGAAAAAATTATAAATAAATCTTTAAAAAATAATATAGAACTTAAATATAATAATAGAGTTAGATAGAATTAGTATGATTTTTAAGATTTTTTTTTCATAAAATTTTGTAAATTATCCTCATATAATGGATTATTATCATTTTCATTTTAGTAATTTATCATAAGATTTAGGTAAAGTTTATTATTCAAAAAAATTTGATGGTGATGAAGTTGTTATAAACTTTTATATAATAATGATTTTAATGTATATAAGTAATTAAATATTTTAGAGATTACTTCAATGTCAAATGAAAAAAGAAAATACTTATATACAAAAATTAGAAAATATGTAGATGATCCATATAAAGATATTTATTGTTTTTTAATCTTAATTTTTATTTTTAATTTTATTTAATATTTATATTAATATTTATTTTTATTTATTTTTTATTTTTTTTATTTCTTTATTTCTCTAAAAAAAAAAAAAAGGAATTTTTTAATAAAAAAAATTTTTTCTGGGGATATGAATGTCCCTCAAACCTTCCATTCAAACATACATCAAACAATTAATAATAGTTTTAATTAAAGTTAAAAAATTTTGAATTTTATAAAGATCTGAAACTTTTTTAACTTTTTAAATAATAATATTAATTATTTCCAAATTTTATGTCAGTCATTTCTAAAATCTAATTTTAAATTTTTTAACTGATATTACATAAAAAATGAGAAATTTTGAAGACCTAATTGCTTGTTTTGTTAATAAGATAATTGACTATAAAAATTTAACCAAATAAAATTCATATATTATATAATAATATGAATCAAAAATCTCAATTTTAGTGGGTCCTATAAGGTGATTTTAATAGCTTAATTCCTATATATGATTATAATATATATGATTTAATTATTAATTATACATACATACTTAAAATTATATAATATATAAAATAGTATATATATATAATTTTTTATACTGATCAAATTTTTTTGGTTTTATTTAATAATTTTTTATAAAGATTTAGAGTATTTATTTAATATATACCTAAAATCTTTTTTTTCAAAATTAGCTAACTCAAGGGTTTTCACTTTAGCAAGAGCTTTTTTAACTATAGCTTTTTGAGCTTGAACTTGAAATTCATATTTCTTAAAAGCTAATTTCTATTATTCCATTTAAAAGTCAATATTTTCAACATCATTTTTTCAACTTTATACTGTTTAGAATTTTTATTTGAAGATAGTTGTGTTTTTCTTTATATTTGTGATTTTTTAGTATTTATATTTATTAAATCAACTAAAATTTTCTTATTTATATTATTTTAAGCTCCTAATAAATAATAAATATAATTAATATAATTAATTTTTAATAAGATAATAAATTTATCTTTTGAATATTTGCTTTAGCATTTCTTTTAATTTTTTCATTATAATAACATGAATAAAAAACTCAAAATTTATTTTCTGATTTCATAATTCAATTTTTTTAATTAATCCAACATTCTCTATTAAGATACAATTAAAATAATTCATTAAATTTTAAAGAAATTAATTTAAATTAAATAATAAATGATTAAACGAATAATATCTATTTATTGCAATTAATAGTTTAAGCTCCTTTCCTTTCTGATTAGCTAAAGCATGAACAGCTTCTATTATATTAGTATTATTTATATTGCTTATTCATATTTTAGGATTCATTTAAATTTAATGATGCAAAAACATATAGCTGATAATAATAATGAGTCTATTTTAAATTTTTAAATAAAACTTAAATAATAAAACAATAAAATAAAATAATAATATCTAGATAATAACTCAAAAATTTTGAAAAAAAATTTTTTTGGAATATGCATTACTTAATTTAGTTTTTAATTATTTATTTTGATTAAAAGATTAAAATTTAGTTATTCTAATTTATTAATACTTTTATAAAACTTGTCAAGTTTTTTAGATTTAAATTTTTTATGTAAAAATAAAGAAAATATATTATTATTTATCATAAATAATAAATAGAAATAAATAATTAATTTTAAATTATTAAAATCATTAATAATTTTAATTAAACTTATAATTAAAATACTTATCATTGATGTTTATTAAAATTTTAATAGTAATTAAATTTCTTAAATTATTTTTGAATTTGATTGATATTTACTTTTTTAACTTAAAAAATTATTTTTATATTAATATAATAATAATATATTATAATAAAATTTAATTTATACTATAAAATATTTAATTTTTTTTAAACAATTTATTTTATTAAATATATTTTGCTTTTTTATTAAAAAAAAGTAAAAATCAGTTTATTATTCTAAAACTGACTAGCTAATTAACAAAATTTAACTTATATTTTTTTATTATTCAAATAAATTTATTTATTAAGAAAGTATGCAGTTGCATTTCTATTATAAAAAATAAAAAATAAGTTTATTATTTTTATTATTTAAAAGTTAGTTAATTGATTATTAAAATTTAATTTATATTCTCATATTTTAGATATTTTTATTAATTAGAAATATTTATTATTTTAATTAGTTATATAATTATATAAAAATAAAAAAATTAGTTTATCATTTAAAAAGCTGATTAGTTAATTAATAAAATTCAATTTATGTACTTCTGATTTTTGAAATAATTTTTTGTAATATTTTTGGATTTTGATTAGTTCTATGATTATATTTCTTTTATTAAAAATAAAAAAATCAGTTTATTATTTAAAAAACTAGCTGATTAATTAATAAAATTCAATTTATATTCTTTTTATTTTTAAGACAAATATTTTTATTATAATGTGAACAGGTAAATGTGACGCATCTTATATAGTATAAAAGATTGACTAATTTGATATAAGTGATATATATGATATGTCAGACATATGTAGTATAATTGATAATTTAGATATAATTGGTATATTACATATAGTTGATATATTAGACATGTTATTTATATCTCTCTATGTAATTTATTTATATAAATAAATAGCTTTTTAGTTTATATAAAAAGATAGACAGATAGGAACTTGACAAGTTAATTTTAGTAGTCTAGAAGCAACTGGCCTACTGCATTATATTTTTGTTTTAGTAAAACCCCTCTGTAAGTTGGTTAGCATAATGAGCAGTATCTTTATCACTCTTTAATTTCTTCCCTAACATAAACATCACATAAACTACTCTCTGCTTATAGGTTGCTAATTCAATATTCACCATTTCAGCTCTATTCTGAACAAAATCAGGCACTTAGTCAGCATAATTAGTTATGCAGAGTAAAATACAATCAGATAAATCTACTCTATATCCTAAAAATTGGTCGTATCAGTCCTTATTTTTCTTAATATCTAGAACATTACCTAACATCATAGCTAATCCTTCATCAGCCACCTTTTCGAATTCATCCAATAAAATTATTGCCCCTCTATGCTTACCTACACTAATCCCACTACATAATCTACCGGGATAAGCCCCTTTTACACTTGGTGAAGTTCCTTCTAAAATCCCAGTATCTTTCTGACCTCCTAAATCTACAATTATCAGAGGTTTTTCCATGCTTTCGGCACCTAAAAAATCATCTTTTTTAATAAAATTAAACAAATTAAATATGTCATACATACGTCTATCTGTATTCGTTCCTTCTATATTCATTACCAAATAAATATCGCCTTTGTTTTTTTTTTTCTTATTTTATTTTCTTATTTCCTTCTATTTCTTTTTCTTTATTTTTATTATTTTACTTGTGAATAAACACATTATTTTACAATTATAAATCATTGGCAATCTGTTGAAATACTACTTGTTATAATAATACAAACACTTTTGAGAATTAGCTTTAGATAAAACTTGTTAACCGTTAAAAGATTACTGCTCAATTAAAAAGAATAAACTACTCGAATACTCTGTCTAATAGTCGTAATTTGTAAAAATTACACATTAACATTTGGTGATAATATCAGAACTATCTTTTTCTAATTAGCGCAGTAATAACTATGTGAAATACTCCATAAACAACTTTAGAGAATTAATTAAGTATCAATAAAACCATTCAGCTATATACAATAGATCAGAATGCAACTTTAGAAAAACTACTAGTAATTTTACCTTAACTGGTAACCCATCCTGTATCGCTTGTAACTCACCTTCTAAGGAAATTTCTCAATCTTTCTTCAATTTCTTTAAGTGAACACAGAAAGTCTTAGGAGCACTATTATATACTAGCAAAAGTTTAGAAGTCCTTCAAACTGCAATCTCTATAGAAACTACTGGTGTACAAGAAATATATTATAGGCAGACACTTAAATCTTTGAGATATAAGCAAGTATTGATACTGACCTTTGAGTGAGCCGTTGAATACTGTATCCAGACTCAAATTAAAATTAAATTATTCTAGAAGAAATATCAAGGCAATTTACTTAATTACCTCAATATATCTCTTTTAAATAAGTTATAACTCTTTTCTGTCTAAAATGACTAAATTCTAAATAATCTGCAGAAATAGTATTGTATCTGAATTAGCAAAAGAAGATCTGCTTTCTTAGACAGGTTATTTTTGATGAGACTATCATTGCAAATACTATTCTAAGCAGAAAGAATTCTGATAAATAAATATTAAGCTTTGACAACACTGTTCTTAGTTCTTATAGAGGAACTGGAAAACTATCTAAACTGACCTATACAAGTTCTTAGACACAACTTCTGATCAAAAGAATGTTTGTTCTTCATGCTCCTATAGGCCAAAAACTGATCATTCACGAGACTAACACAAAGATAAAAAGTCAAAGAACAAGAAAACTAGTAAACTGAAGAGCTATAATTCTATGTCTTACTATGATAGTTCTTCGTTTTCTTCTAGTTCTAATTCTAGCGATCATAATTCTGATGATGATAAAAATGAGGACCCATTTGATGAAAATAGCATGAATAATCAAGATGAACAAAACTTCTTCCAGATGATGAAAAGATTACAAACTGTCTTTAAAACTGTTAGATTTGGAATACAACGGGAAGCAAAATTTGTAGACTTACTAACTTTTAAAGGAGGGGACCAGGATCTTCATGATTGGTTAGAGCGATATAATAATACTGAAGATGCAAATGGAATTTTGGATAGATGATGTCTTACATTAGTTCTGTCATTCCTGAAAGGATCTGCCTTCACTTGGTATAATAAAACAGAATAAAAAAGATTTGTGATATTGGGATAATTCGACTGATCGATAGTATAAACATCGCTTCTTTGTCTATCACTTCTTGAAATATTACTGTACAACTCATCAGAAAATGCAATAGCGTTCAGTACTTAGATGATATAAATAATATCTTAGATAGTCAGTTGAAGATTACGCCACTGATGTTGAATCATTATACCTTAAATTAAACCTTAACTATAATATTCTAGAAGATGAGAAAAATGAGCAATTTTTACAAGGTTTTGTTTAGAATTTCATACTGCTATTGCTGCTGCTGCATCTCATGACCTAAAAAAAGCAATTGAACAAAGCACGAGCTATCAAAGCAGTATTATCTAAGGATATTATACTTTCTAGATATTCCTTAAGTAAGGCATATCTGAATTAAAAGGATAACGACGCTGTTGAAAATTCCACTGCCACTCTTGACATTCAATAACTAATTAACTGAAATAATGATAAGCTAATAAAAGAATTTAAGCAATTGTTAACTACCTTGAATATTACGCCACATACTCAAAATATTAGCTCATATTCAGCAAATTCAAATAATAACTGGAGGAATAATAATAGTAATAATAACAATAGTAATCAAAACAATTAAAGTTATTATAATTGTAAATGACCTAGCTATATTACTAGAAATTATAGGCAAAGAAATAATCCAAAGAGTCAGAAAAATAATGAAAATAATCAATATAATCGATATAATTCAATTAATAAGCACAGAACAGGGATTACTTGTCATAGTTGTCACCAAAAGAGACATATTTTCAGAAATTGTAATAATCCACCAAGAGGACCCTGCCTGCATTGTGGATAATTTGAATATTAGAATATAAATACCCAACTAAGAACGTGAATAATCCTGTTGGAAATACTGGAGAAATGTTAATATGCTAACTGGTTTCAATACTAGGTAACGTGCTGCATTATCACAAACTACACCAATATATAGCACTAGCTTTACTCTATTATCACAAACCTCCATAACCTTCCTCTTTCAAACCCATTACCAGCAAACATCTAGAATCTGTTTGTCTTTTCATCCCAGTCTTTAAACTATTGATAGTATCTCAGGAGGGTGAACGTACTAATAAAAATATAAACATTTCAGAATTACCAAGAGCTGTAAAAGCAGTTTATTGTAATGCAACTATGAACAATCAACCAATATATTTAATTTTAGATTCAAGATCAGCTGAAAGTGTTAATGTTTAAATCCTTTTTATAACAATTAGAGTGAAAAATTGAATCAACTTCTACTATCATAATGATAAATATATAAGAAAGACTATCATGATCCTTAGGATGAGTTACTAATATTCCTTTGCATAGAAGTCCCTATTAACATCGATATCATAGAATCAACTGATTATTATATAATAGCAGGAAATAATTAGCTTATCAAATATCGAAGATGACTTTATTGAGACTGTCAAAAGTTTACATTTAACTGGAACAATAAAGAATATCAGATACCTATAACCTATTGAGAAAAATCACAGTTCAATCATTTTCAGCAACCTGTTAACATTGTTAAAAATTCCTCTAATAAAGAATATGAAAATAAAGAATTAGTAGCTCAATGATACTATATGATATTGGAAGATCATAACGATTCTATTCTTTTAGCTGAAAGTAACCTAAAATGAATTTTAGTAGATAGACAAAAATATTCTTCCTAATACTTTGAGAGTTTAAATCAGAAATTTAACGTTCAACCACCCAAAGATGTTAAATGAAAATATCATTGGCAGGGACTAGGCAATTAATGTTGGTGCCATAATAAATTAAATGAAATTGATGATCACTGCCAACTATGTAAAAAGGAATATGATTATTGACAACTACTACGAAATATTTCAAATGAACCACCATCTTATGAAATGATCTATAAACATCTTAATGGACCTTAACAGCAACAAATTATTCAATTTCTATATAAAAATGATCATGCATTCACTAAAGATTTATCATAATTAGAACATACAATGATTGAAATACATCATATACCAGTAGAAAATCTGATGCCTATACAACAGCGTGCATATAGAGTAGCTTTCTTAGAATAAGAATTTATCAAGGATGAAGTTAGTAGGATGTTGAAATACAACTTGATATAACTCTCTGAAAGTTCTTAGGCTTCACTTGTTATTTTTGTTTGAAAGAAAAATGTGAAACTTCAGTTTTGTATTGATTACAAGAAACTTAATAATGAGATAGACATCCTTTCATACATTGATGAATTGTTAGATATGTTTAGAAAGGCTAAATATTTTTTAACCTTAGATTTAGCTAATGGATATTGGCAGGTTGCTATGAACTCAATTGACCAAGCTTAAACAGCTTTCATAATCAGTCAAGAACTTTATAAATTCAAAGTAATACCATTTAGATTAACAAACGCACTTGTAACTTTTTAACGTTTAATTAATAAAATTTTTAGAGAGGAGATTAGACAGTTCATAGCTATGTATCTTGATGATATCATCATCTTTTCAGACACCTTTGATACATATTTGCGACATTTACAGTTCATCTTTAAATGATTAAAGGACACTAGACTCAAACTTAGAAAAGATAAATGCGAGTTTGCTAAATTAGAATTAGCATTTTTAGGACATATCATGAGTGGACAAGAAATCTCACCAGACCCCTCTAAAATAAATAAAATCAAAAATTTTTCAATCTCAAAGAATATCACCAAGTTACGAGAATTCCTAAAACTAGCATCGTATTATAGAAGATTTATTCAGGATTTCTCAACATCAGCTGCACCATTGCATTTATTATCATATAAAGATATACTTTATGTTTGGACAGAACTACAACAAAAGGCTTTTGAGTATTTAAAAACATGTTTAATAACTGCACCAGTCTTGATTTATCCTGATTTTAAATACAAGTTTTTACTCTTTACCGATGGTTCATATATAAGTCTTGGCACAATATTGGCACAACTAAATGATAATAAAAAAAATGTGTTATAGCTTATGGTAGTTGAAGTATAAGCTCATACTGAGCAAAATTATGCTCCAATTGAATTAAAATATCTTGCCGCTGTATAGAGAATGGAACACTTTCAACCTTATTTATTACATCAATAATTTAAACTAATTACTAACTATACAGCCCTACAATGGCTTTTTAATAAACCTGATCCTCCTCGTAAATTTATGAGATGGATTATTCATATTATAGAATTCCTATATCAAATTCAATATAAAAAAGAAAAATTACATTCAAACGCTAATGCATTGTTCT